ATAAATTAGATGGAAACATCAAAAAGTTAATGCCTAAAGGCGCAAAAGAAATGTTGAAAAAAAAAAAATATAGTGAATGGCATCAAATTTACTTTAACAAATCTTAATCGCATTTGTTAAAGTAAATAGATTTACATAACAAATTGGTTCTTCATCCAATTTTTAATGTAAATTTAATTAATGTTTTTAGCTTTCCTCCCAACAGTAAAATTTTGATAACTTTAAAAAGTATGAACTTTTTAATAATTATGGGTTCCAAATTTTATGGATTATATATTATGTATAATTTTTGCAGTATATTTTTCTGAGTCATTTTTTCCTAAATGTTGTTATAGCATAAAATTGCTTTTTGAATTACAATGTTTTTTATTCTTGACATGCTTTGTAAATTGTATTTCCATTAGGTCACATCAATCATATTTTTAAAAGCTGCACGACTTTTAGAAGCTTGTCAAAAGGAAAATGGTATTGAATGTGGTTGCGTGCTTTCTGAAGGAAGGTAAGTTCTTATCATACCTTATAGTTTTATTTTATTATTTATATCAAATATTTTGTTTTATTAAACATTGATAGAAATCAGGTGAAATTTAAAAAGAAATGACAATAAAACTGATAAATATGATAACAAATGTTTTATGAAAAAATATTTCAAATAATCACAAGCTGTTACTGTTATAACCATGGTTACTGTTATAACCATGGGATTCTCTAAAATCATTTTCTCTAATAACAGGTTCTTTTTTTTATTTGTTGTTAAGGCACCATAAGTAGTAATTTATGTTTAACTGAAAGTTAACAATAATAAAATTAACAATAATAAAATCTTGTTTGAAATCATGTTTTTTAACAGCTTAAACCTGCTATAAATTATAAGTTTAAAGAAAATATTTACCAACTGAATATTTTATTTAAGCACTGTGATGCAAAGAGAATTACCAGTAGAGCGATTGCACATACATACTATGTTTTTGAATGATTTGGTGGACACGTTTTTGAGAAATAGTAAGTGAGGGTAGAAATCTGTTTTTAGTATTAAAAAGGAATGGCAAGTGGTTAATTTATTAATGCTAAATCTTTTAAAAGAAAATGCACACCAATAATAGACATTAAAACAAGAAATGCTGCTGGTGGCGATGATACTTGTTGCTGAGATTTCTCTTATGATGACCAAAATAGTTTTTTTCTTTATTTTGAAGTAAATCAGTTAGCATTTGTCAGTTCAATAATCAGTCAACTTTTGTTTAGTTCAGTAATCGACAAATATTTGTAACTGTAGTTTACACTTGTTATGTTTACATAGCTATCTGTGAAAAAGTAAAATTAAAGTTAATGGTTATGTAAATAGATTTGTTTTTTACTATAGGCTTTTTTACATGGTATTTTCTTAGATTTATAGTTAGGGAGTAAAAACTAAAAAAAAAGTTGAAAAATTAAGTGCTAATACATTGTTAAAGAATAGTGCATATATTACTTGTAATTGCAGTAACAGAATGTCGATGATGAAAAGAAGTGTAATTTTTGGTTTTATACATATAATGTATTTTTCCATTATAATATACTAATTTATTTTAATGATCTTTTCATTGCTAATAATGGTGTAAGAAAATATCCATTCTATCATTTATGGTAATATAAGAAAAAAAATCTATTTATTATTGGTATCCCTTCATTATTGGTGATTTTAGAAAATATTAATTCATTATTAGTTATATGAGAAATTATCCACTAACTATTAGCAATATGAGAAAATATCTATTCCATCATTATTTGTGGTACAAGAAAATATCTATTCATTATTAGTAATATGAGAGTACACCTATTTTATCTTTATTTGTGGTATTAGAATAAAGCCATTTTATCATTATTAGTGTTATAAGAAAATATCCATTCTTTATTAGCGATATGAGAAAATATACATTCTATTATTATTAGTGGTATGATAAAATGTCAGTTTTATTGTTTTTAGTGATATGAGAAAGTATACAATCTACTATTATTAGTGGTATGATAAAATATCTGTTTTATTGTTTTTAGTGATATGAGAAAATATCAATTTATTGTCAGTGATATGGAAATATATCTATTCATAATTAGTGACGTGAAAACATATCCATTCTATTATTATTAGTGGCATGAGAAAATAGCCATTTTATAGTAAAATTTCTAAACATTTTTTTTCAAGCTACAGTTTATTAGTTTTCCTTGTTTAAAGTTTGCTTTTATTACAGTAACAGTATTTTTTTAAAATTTGTAAATTGAACCTGCGTTTCAGTTCAAATATGTTTTCTTATCAATAACACATAACTAGGGTTTGCTATCCTGGATAAAAAATATTTTGTGATATAGAATTTATAAAACTATGATTAATACTGCTGTTTGCCGAATAATGCAACGCAATGTTTTTATTATTGGTTTATAAGTTCAAAGTATGTTTAATCAATCTTATTTACTGTAACTACTGCTGGCGTGTTTATTAGGAAATAGTAGGAAACTAATTTTAATTATTAAAACTAAATTTTAATAATAATACAAATAATAAAAATAATAACAATAACAAAAATAAGAACAATAATGGAAAAAAATTAAAAAATTTATTTGTACTATTGTACTATTTGTATAATTTATTTATATTATGTTTTTGTAATAATAGAGTTTATTTATTTTAATTTATTGAACTTTAAAAATTCAACTTAATAAGAAAGTTAAAATAGTTAATAATTTATTATATTTTCTTTGATTCGTCAATTAAGGGTATCATGTCAAATTTCATAGAGTTCAGCGATTGCATGATCGGTCTTCAAAATTTTAATTTATGCAAAACTGTGTTCTTTGTTTTTTAGGGGTGAATCAACTTAAATTTGTTAGTGATAAAGTTATAAAAAATAAATTAATAAACTTACAACTACAAAAGTAATAATACTCTAGTAACTACCTTCATTATAAAAGTAATAAAACTGTAATAGTGTTATTACTTTTATAACGCACTTGTAACTTCATTCTTTGTTCAAACAACATAAGTAATCCCAAATTTCAATTGAAGTAGAAAATCATGTAAAAAAATAGAGTGGATATTTAGATAATATTTAAAACTTATTAAAGAATTATTTTTGAACAAAAAGTAAGTTAAACTTATTTTTATAATGCAAATAAAGCGTAGCAATTGTTTTTTTTCATAAATGATATATACAACAATATAATATTAACGAATGGTGTTTGGAAAAATAATCTTTGCTTTCAAAACAAAATCGCTAATAAAATTATAATAAACTTTTAATAAATAAAGTAGATAAATTAATGTAATTTTTTTATTTGTTAATCACTAATTTTTTTTAAATAAAAAATCTCTTTTATTTGCAAATTTTTAAAAATGATTATTTAAGACATAATCATTTAAAAAAAATTTAACATAGTTTAAATCATATATACAAATGTTGAGAAAAACAGTTTTTTATTTGAAATTTTTTTTTTTTAATGTTTAATGTTTAATTTGGTAATAGTATTAATAAAAAGCGAATTAAACAATATTTAACTCGTTTTGCTGTAATTAATATTATAGCAGAATTTAAATAAAGTTAATGTCTTTAAAAAATAAAAAGATAAAGAGAGTTTTATGATGTAAAATTCATATTGAGCTATTGCATTAAACATCTGTTATTTAAAACAAGGCATTGAAAACCTGACATTGAAATTCATATTGCATTAAACATCTGTTATTTAAAACAAGGCATTGAAAACCTGACATTGAAAATTTGGAAAATGAATCTGAATTTAATATAAGTTGTGAATCAGATAGTTAGCGATGATGATGGTGATGAGAGTTGCTTTTTTGCAGATAATCAAATAATTAAAGATGTAATAATTACAAACAAAGCAATTGGTCCTGTGATTAATTAAGTTAGAAAAGTTATGATGGTTTTTAAAAAATCATGAACTAAAAATGATGTCTTCAAAAATATGCAAAAATTAGCTGGAAAAACCTTCAATTAATCAAAGATTGTGAAACAAGATGGAGCAATTTAATATCAATATTAGAAAGGTTTCATAAGTTCAAAAATTGCATAAAAACCACGCTTGTTGATATCAGTATTAACGATTCTTTAAAAATATCAGATAATGAATGTGAAATTGTTTCTGAACTAGTAAATGTGCTAATTCCAGTGAAAGCAACAGTAAAGCGCTTTGTTGACACGGTACAAACCTTATAACTGCTGACATTTGTTAAAGTTTATGCTAATTCAATTAAAAGAACTGAATGCTACAACAAGTTGTCAACTTTTTAATGCATTAGCCTCCAGAATCAAAGAGTGAAGGACTGAATTAAGTAGTCTACTGCACTATCTACAATATAGAGGAAACAAATTAATGCCCATAAGTGAAGTTTTTAAAACATCTTTAAATTTTAAAAATTAAAAAATAATGTTGAAGCTTCTAAATAGATTAATAATAATAATAATAATAATAATAATAATAATAATAATAATAATAATAATAATAATAATAATAATAATAATAATAATAATAATAATACTTATTATTATTATTATTATTATTATTATTATTATTATTATTATTATTATTATTAATAAATAAATTAATAATCAATGTAACAAATTTAAATCACCCTACAAATTTTTTGGACAATGTTGAAAATTTAGTAATGAAGAAGATGATGAAATACCGAAAAATGCAGATAATGAAAAGCCAAAAACTATAGTGAGCAACTAAGTGAAGCCCTAGAAAAAGGGTTTCTAGCAACACCCAGAAATGCTTCTAAATTATCAAAAGAAATTTCATTGTTTGAAAGTGGTTGTGCTCAGGGTGAGTCTTCAGAAATTTTATGGTTTTTTAATGATGCTTAAACCAACAAACGTAAAGTCAGAAAGGGCATTTTACCCTGCAGGACTTTTTTGCAATAAAATAAGTAGTTGCTGAAGTGATAATAGTTTAAAAAGTTTAAACTTTCTGCAAGTATACTTTCTAAAGACAATATAAATAACTTTATGTACAAGTTTTATTTTACTGCAATATACATACTTAAATCATGACTTTCCTTTAAGTTTTAAAGCACAAAATAATGCCATGATTTCCCAGGAAGTTCCAGAATTTAATTATCCAATCTCGAATTCTGATAAGAGAATTATTTAGGGTTTTTGCAAACCCTTCATATAACATTTAAAGTATAGCATATGTATCATGAATATAAGTACTGTGTTATATATATGAATGCTAAAAGCAAATTTATTATAATTTCATATAATATATGAACTAAAAATATTTTTAGAGGTGCCTCATCACCCTTAAATATTGATGGGTCCCTAAAATTTTGAAAAAAATACTTTTTCTAAAGTATGTCAACCTGGTACTCAAAAGAAGCAAAATTATATAAAAACTTGAAAAATAATAATAATCAATTTACATAAAAAACATGTTTTTATAAATTATTTAAAAAAAACTTGAAAATATTGACTTTTTTTATTATCACCTTAAAAACAAAAGTTTCTAGGCAATTATATCTGAAAAAATAATTTTATGTAAATTCATTATTATTTTGAAAGTTTTTATATAATTTCGCTTCTTTTGAGTACCAGGTTGACATACTTTAAAAAAAACTTTTTTTTTCAAAATATTAGGGACCTGTCAAATATTTAAGGGTCTTGAGGCACCCCTAAAAATATTTTTTATTCAAAAAAACTTTATACCTAGTGTTTTTGTATTATATAGAACACATTTATATATATATATATATATATATATATATATATATATATATATATATATATATATATATATATATATATATATATATATATATATATATATATATATATAAAATATATTATATATATATATATATTATATATATATATATATATATATATATATATAATATATTTTATATATATATATATATATATATATATATATATATATATATATATATATATATATATACATATAATCATTCATTTCTGAGTCTTTATCGATGAAACACAGTGTTAAATAAAAAATTTTTGATAAGTGATTTTCTACTAATTTATTATTGCACTGTTCTTTTAAGAACATGGAGCACTCTATTTTTTAGAATACATTTTAAAATAGTTTAAATATATAATATATATTTATATATATATATATATTTTTAGTAACTCCCAACTTGATAATGATTGCTTGCAGTCTTGTTGCGAGTTAGTCAGAATATATATATATATATTTATATATATATATATATATATATATATATATATATATATATATATATATATATATATATATATATATATATGTATATATATAAATATATATATACATACATATATATATATATATATATATATATATATATATATATATATATATAATATATATATATATATATATATATATATATATATATATGTATATATATATATATATATATATATATATATATATATATATATATATATATATATATATATATATATATATATATATATATATATATATATATATATATATATATATATATATATATATATATATATATATATAAGGGTGGCTCTATTTTGAGAAAAACCTGCTTCCACCCCCAAATGTGTTTTATCTAATACAAAAACATTAGGCTTACATTTTTTTTGAATAAAAAATATTTTAGAGGTCCCGCAAGACTCTTGAATATTTAATGGGTCCCTAATATTTAAAAAGAAAAAGGTTTTTTTAAAAATATGTTAACATGGTACTTAAATGAAGCAAAATTATATAAAAATTTCAAAAATATTAATTTCGAAAAAATTTTAATTTGTTTATCAAAATTATCATTAAAAAAACACATAAAAAATGCATTTTTTTCATTTTTTGTTAAGTGCTATTTTTTATTGTAATAAAATCAAAAATAACAATTTTTTTTTTGAAATGAATATTATTTTTGAAATTTTACAGGGAAGCTCTTGCGGTGGCATGCCTTGTTCGTCCACGTTTAAAGTCATTTTTTAGACAAACTGACCACTGCATTTTGCATCTTTTAACTTAAGCATTTTAATAAGCATTTTAATATTTTGCGGCAAAAACTTAACTTATCTAAAAAGAAAAAAAAACAATCCTAAAAAAAGGAAACAAAATTCTATCAAAATTTCGAGATTAATTAAATAAACCAGAAAATTTATTAGTTAAAAAAAAAATAAAGTTTTTTGTTTTAATAAAACTTTTATGCAACTTTTGTATTTTTTTTTTTTAGTGTTGTTGTTTAAAAACCATTATCTTTTATAACGATTTAACAACAATTGAAAGTTTTGATATTCAATTTATTCACAGTTTTTATCAGCCCATATAATTAAGAAACTAATTTGCTACGTATGCTAAAACTATGAAAAAAAAATTATTATTATATTTATTTGTTTTTTATGTCTTTTTGCTTTTAAAAATGTTTTTGCTATATTTGACTTTTCTCTCAATACTTACATAATAGGTAAATAAGAAAATAAATTGTTATTAATATGAAAAATATATTATCTGATTAAAATATTTTGTAATGACGGAATAGGCGTTATAATAATAAAAATATCTTTATAAATAAAAGAATAACATGGTTTCTTTAATAAATATATTTACTGCATTTGATGCATGTCTGAAATTGTTTCTGTTATATTACCTAAAATCCAATGTTAACTAGAGATAATGAACATAACAATTGCTCTATTTAAAAAAATGTATTTAAAAACTTAAGAAAAAGTTTTGAATAGGCTTCTAAACATTTTGTTAAAAAAATTCAGTAAATTAACAATGCACTAGCCCACAATCTTTCGGAGCATTGTCAATAACAATAGTTAATTTTTCATTGTATTTTATTTCAATTTTCTATTTTGTATAGTCATAGGTTGTTTTCTTCGAGTATTGCTATTTTATTCTCTTTAGTTTCTTATAGCTTTATTTTGCCGCATTTTTTTAAAATACTTACTATATAAAAACGTGGTCAAGTTGTTTAAAAAAATTACTTTAAGCGTGGATAAACAGGGTGTGCGACTGCAACAGCTGTATATATATATATATATATATATATATATATATATATATATATATATATATATATATATATATATATATATATATATATATATATATATATATATATATATATATTCAGTTTCCAACTGTTATCAAGATCTTCCCAAATAGACAAAAAAAATTAATAAAATTTTAACCAACAGTGACAAACACCTGAAATGATAAAAACTGGCCTTCTAATATTTGGCCTATTTATCCAGCATATCCAGCCATAAGAAAATATCTTTTCATTATTAGTGTTATGAGAAAAAAATCCATTCTATTACTAATAGTTACATATGAAAAAATATTTATTAGAAATTATCCATTTTATTTCAAAACATGAAAAGAATATTGATTTGAATAATAAAATATTTATAAACAGAATGTTTTCAGTTTTTTCTGCCTTTGGTGTGATGTTGAGGCCTGTTTTTATAGAATGTTTTGATAATAACAGGTAAGCAATATGTGATTTATAACAGGTATCATGGTGAATATCAATATACAGAAAAACTTTTTGACAATTTTTAGAATGATTTATTCACAAATTCCATACGAGCTGACACATCATCTGCTACTCCTATACCAACAGAAATGTGTATGTTGAATTAATTAATTTAATATATTTTGATGTTAATTATTTTCACTTTAAAATCATTTATAATGTTTTTGTCAGGGGTGTGTAGTCGTAAAATAAAGTACCAACTCTGACTCCAACTCCAATTGTTAAAATTTTTAGAGTATGGCTCCGACTCTAAAGCAAAATTTTTGAAAAATTCTTTGAATTCCTTAAAAAATATTACGTGATAATTAAAAAATTTTTTTTTTTGCTAAATATATGAAAAATTCTTGAAGGTTAAATATTTTGTACATGCATGTGCAATACTGAGAAGTTTTACTATTAAAGTTAGAGACGCGATTTTGTTTAGTTACTCCAACTCCACTAAAAAATGTCATAACTCCACTACTCTGACTCCACAGTCCTGGTTTTGGCTCTGAATTATAAAAAATGTCACTACTCCACGACTCTGACTCTGACTGTAAATAATATCTAGTTTTTCTTATTTTTTTTTTTAATTGTTTTTTGTTTAAAATATTTTAATCAGTCTGTTTATTAATTTTTATTCTTGTATTTTTATTTTATTTTTAATACAAATATTTCAAGCCTTTAATTATGGATTGCTAAAACAAAGAGAGCATCCTCCTGTTAATGATTAAACGATTTTATAAAGTAAAAAATTTTATACAAAAATCTTTAGCTCCAAAACACATTGATTAGCGAGGCTGTTAAATAGAGAAATATGCAGCAACATTGTTGTGGTTTTTTTTTTGAAATTCAAATTTTGTTTCAATTAAAAAAATATTACATAGAGCCCATAGAAAAGTATATAATCAAAAAGATTTCTCTTTATTCAATGTGTTAACACGTGTTATCAAAAATCATAAAGATTCACATCATGTTTGTTCAGCTGACAAATGACAATGACAGCTGAAAAAGCCGCTGCAATAATAATTGACGTAAATTTTAGCATATCTGGCTGTAAACAAATCCAACAGGCATCTAAAATAAGATATCCATCTTATTAAACATTGTTTGTTCAAATAATTCACATTAATTCTTTGATGAATAGAAAACACTTTTTTAGAAATAAATTTTATTCAGTTCTGAAAATTGCAGTTTTTAAATAAACACCATTTCCCATTCCACATTGACACACTTTTTCTAATGCCTTAATCATCACCTTTTGTAATATTTATTTGCTTCTGAATTTAATTTATTTAATGATGTTGGTCCTATAGATGCCGAATGGTTTGAGGATTGTTACAGTAAACTTGAATACTAAAATTTTCCAAATAACATGTGTGCCATAAAATTTGAGACTGGCTTTAAACTTGAATTAAAACTTAAATGAACGCGATAAAAAATTGTTTTTTTTGGTATGTTTTTAGAATTAAATATGCAGAATAGGAAAATAAAAATAAATTTATCACAAGACTGCATATCTTTGAATTTGATCAAGTCTGGTATTGGTACCTTGTACCAGCTTTTGTACAGCATTTAGGTCAAGTCTACTGGCACAATAATGAATCCGACGCTCAAGGTTTGATATATTATTTGTAGACCATCCATTCTTGTACACATCCCGCTTAAGCATTGCCTAAAAATCCTCTGTAGCACGAGCCTCTGGTAAGTTTGCTGGATTGTCTTTTTTTTGAACAAATGGTATCTTCTGGGTTTTTAACTATTTTGTTACCAAATTAGATGTTGCTAAATCGGGCCAAAAGATATACTTGGTGTCTTGACAATATTTATTAATAAAAGGTTGCAAGCACTTTTGTAAACACTCTTTTAAATAGATCTCTTGGTTTACCACTTGGCCAGAAGGAACAATGTAAATAGATGTGACCCCTCTAGGGGAGATTGCCATTCATACATGTAATTTTTTTTCAAATTTTGCAACATCATAATACTTAACAATGTCTGGTGTCGATTTTTGATCATTTGAATAGTATGTATTATTACCAGCCAGTGTGATATTCGACAAAGTAAAGTATGACTCATTGTCAATAAAAAATTCATGGATGCAATATTTTGAATAAAGTGGACCACATTTTTGGTGACCTTAAAGTTCAGGAGTTCTGCTTGGTCTTTTTTTTCTTTTATAAAAAAGGATAGGCTTTTTAAAGCATTTTAAGATTTGTCCAATGGTGCTTTGCTACAACTAAGTCTTCTCGATGTCTTTGAAAGTGACACACCTCTTTGATTGTTAAACATTTTCCTTAATTTGATGCGGTTGTTTTGTGTATTAAGAATAGGCCTTCTTCCGCTTCCAGCTTTGCGACCCAATGGTTTTATTGTAACTGTTCATATATCTATAAATTGTAGCTTTTGAGTAGCCCTCCATAATGAAATGGTTCCAAACAACATGTTTTCCGTCTTTATGTTTTTTTTACAAAAATTATACACACGACTTTTTAGGGCTTGTTGATTTGGCATTTTAAATTGCTATCTAAACAAAAAATAATCAGAGAATTTGTACGCTAATTGAAAGAGGAAAGATAGAGCTTTCATTTGATAGCAAATACTAATTATTTTATCAAGCTTACTATTTAAATATCGCTTATTCAAGTTACCCTCAAATTTTATGGAGCAGGTGTTATTTCAAGTGGAAAATGTCTGCAGCAGTTAAGCCATGTTATTGTAATTGTCATTTACAGAGTTTTGCAAAAATATAAACTATTTTATGCAGAAATATAAATTAAAGTAATAAAATCAAAATAATAAACTATAAATAAGATTTTTTTAAGTTATAAAAAAAAAGTTTAAATATGAGCTTGATAACAGCCATTTCAAGCTCAAGGAAGTAGTTTATTTAATAATTTACACCTTCATGCTTCAATGCTTGCATCTTCATTAAATTTAAAGCTACAAACAATATTGTCTACATATCTTCTGTATAATGTTTCTGTTGATGATTCAAAATAAGTTGGCCAATAAGTTAAATAAGAAAACTAAGAAGTTGGGTAAAATAAATGGAAGCAAATTTATCCTTAAAATAAGTGGAAGCTAAATTTAACCTTAAATTAACTAAAATAGAAATAAATCATGGATTTCCTTGTTGTTCTAATTAGTTTCCAAATCAAAAACTTGATAAATCATTCTTTTATTAAAAAAAACAACCTACACCGGTCTATTAATTATTTTTTATAGGTTTGCCAGTATTAATTAATATTTAAGGCTGAGTAAAACTCTTTAATGTATGTATGTGAATTTTGCATTTTAATGTATGTATGTGTACATACATTTTAATGTATGTATGTGTATATGTATGTGAATGTATATATATGTATATATCTACATACATATTTATATATGTACGTATGTTTGTATGTATGAATTTATGTATGTATGTATGTATGTATGGATGTATGTATGTATGTATGTATGTATGTATGTATGTATGTATGTATGTATGTATGTATGTATGTATGTATGTATGTATGTATGTATGTATGTATGTATGTGTGTATGTATGTATGTATGTATGTATGTATGTATGTATTAATGTATTTATGTGTGTATCAAATTGTACAAAATGTAAATCAACTTATATTTCTTTAAAAAAATTTGTTTAGCATTCTCCAAGAGTTTTTTATCCAGGTCAGTTATATTTTTGTAATATGTTGTTTTGCCAATATTTATTTTTCTGTTTAGGTTAAGAAATAAGTTCAAAACTTTACCAAAATCCAAAGTTTGTAAAATTATCTACAAGTGCTTGAGTGCTCCATTCAACAATTTTATTGTTAAAATCAATTGGTTAAAGCAAATCCTTCATACATAAGAAACATGTGCTAAACTGTAGTTACTCAATAGAGAGAGATATTTTTTTTTTGTTAAAGTTTTTGTTTGCCTCGTGGCACATTCTTTTCTCTTCAAATACACACCTTGGTGAAAATACATTTATATATCTCATTTGCCTTAAAAAAGATATATTTGTTTATCTCTTTTAAAAGACCAGAGATAGATGTGCTATACAGGAGAAAGATTCATGGAGGAGAAAGATTCATGGAACTCTTCAGCACTTTTACATAATTTTATGATCTTTTATTTTGAAGCAATTATGTTACATTTTGAGAGTATAAAAATTTAAACAGACAGATTTAATATTTGTAATATGCAATATTATGTTAATATTTAAATTGTATAACTCTCTCTGTTAAAATGTTTGAAACGTTTTTTTCCTTTTTAATTATAAAAATTTGCTTTTAGAAATTTCTTAAATTACTTTTCATTTTTGTTTAATATTCATTTATCTTTGTTAAAAATGTTAATTTATAATTTAAAAAAAAACAATTTTCTAATAAAAAATAAACTTTACATAATCATCAATACTATAACACAATACTACTAAGTAGTGATGCAGTTATACTATTTATTTTAGGTATTGAGTTGCCTTTTGGTGTTTCTATCCGTTGCATTTATGTTACCATAGAACAATATAATCGGATTGTTTCTTCATCTTTGATGAACTCATATAAGAACAATAATGAAGGAACTGAGAGTTTTTCTAATACTTCAGCTGATCATTATTCTTGTGATACTGTTGAAAATTCTGTGGTCAACTTTTCTAGTGATATTGCCAACTGTCATGAAAGTAAAATTTCAAAAGATGAACCAAGTAACTTAATTCAAGTAACTTAATTCTAAAGAATTTATCAAAAAATATTTTATAAACTAATAAGACAGGCCTTGCGATGAATAAGAACTGCGCGACGCATAAGCACAACGTGATTTTTGACGTCATTAAATTCTTTTTATTTTTATCAACATTAACTGCACTAATTTACTTAATTACCGCAAAACTACTTTAAATCGTTTATGTAGAAATGTTATTATTTAAAAATGTTTTGGAATGTTTCGTTTTTTAAAATGTAAAAACATTTGTTTATTTTCTCGACGTTTTTCACGTTTTGTCTAAACGAATAAAAAACATTATAACTTAAATTTAAAATAGATTATAAAATATGCTAATATTTGATTTTTTTTTTCTTAAATATGTAATTTAAAGTTTTTCAAATAATTATTTTTTCTTTTTAAAAAGTCAGCGAGTAATAAAATGGAAATTTTAATATTGTACGAATAAAAACTGTGCAATAGCTAATATTTTTACAAGCGATTTTATATAATATTTATTTATTTATTTTTATTTATTTTCATAAAGCGGTTGATAAGCACAATCACTCGTATTAATAAAAAACTTAAACGAATGTTTTGAATAGATTTTAAATGTTAACAAGGAATTTTATTTCTAGTAAAATAAAATAAAATGTTAGAATAAAAATCTTATAGGTATAAAAGAAATATTTCAGCGAAAAAATTATTTTTAAAAATTATTGTTAAAAATTATTCGAAAAACTATTGACGTTCTATTTTTCTGCAGCTGTTCTTGAGCACGCTTCCATGAGTTTCACATAAAAGCGATCGTTATTATTTAAGTAATTTTTTTGAGTTACTTTTTACAAAAATTTTAATAACTGTACTTTTTTTATTGAATCAAGAAGAATACGTTTTAATATTAATCCTTTTTTTTTATTTTATTTGCGCTCACCAATTTTTAAAATGTTTCCTCGAAATTACTCTTACATACTTTAAATACGTCTAACAGTTAATAAATATTTTTAAATCTATGGAATAATTTTAAAACCTAACACACCCCCGTAAAATAATTATTTAAGTTTAAAATCTAAAACTAAAAGAGTATTTTTGTTCAATTTTGCTATTGCTGAATAATTTTATTAAAATGTTAGCTTAAAAGATTTAAACTTTTTTTTTAATCTGAACTTTTTCTACTTGTAAATATTCAATTTTTTTTAATTCAAACTTTTATTTCAACTGCGTGCAGTTTTTAAAATACTTAATTAAATGTTAAAATAATCGTAAATTACTTCATTAAAATTCCGCTCAAAAATATCTTTAAATATACTCAAACAAAAAATTTTTTGCTCGACGCAAATAGCCCTAGCTACACGCAAAATCGCTCTTGGACAACGTAAAATTCACATCGCCCGACGCTTTATCGCAAGGCCTGATAAGATATTTAAGAATTTAAAAGAATTAATGATTTTATAAGGTTTTTTATTTAATTTTTGATACTTTTGGTTTTTTTATTTTTTAACTTTATAAAGGTATAAAAAACAGCCCAGGTTATGTTTATGTGTATATATATATATATATATATATATATATATATATATATATATATATATATATATATATATATATATATATATATATATATATATATATATATATATGTATATATATTTATTTATATATAGCGGTAGTGGTGTAGTGGTAGAGCGTTTGCTTTATAAGCAAGAGGTTCTGAGTTCGATCCCCACCACGTCCCTGGTAGTTCCACACTCAACTTGTTTCTCCACGCAGCGGCCTTGTTCGTTAAGGTTCGTGTTTCGGAGTTATAAAGTTGAGAGAGGGTTATAACTAGTGATGTACCAATTAATCAGCATCGGCATCAGCTTTATTGGCCATTTTTTTTACAATCGGAATTTGTATCGGCATCGGCCACTTTTACCGATTTTTTAACCGATGGCATTTTAATATTTTTATCCTGCATTATTACAACAATTAAATAATAAATAAACTAAACTTTATGCATTACTTAGAATTTTTTGGATAAATTTTTATTTTGACTTTGTTTACAGGCATTGTTATATATATTTTTTTAATTATTTTTTACTCCTAACAATGCTGCAACCATGCGCTTTAAAGTTGGGAGTTGCTAGAAAAAAAGAGTAGAGTTATAGAGCAAGGAATCGGTTGACAGAAGACTTAAAAAGTTGAAAGTTGTATGAGTCAGGAAAACATGAAGATGAGACAGAGTTCCTAAGGGTTGAAGTGCTAGAAAATAAGCTAGACAAGTAAATGTTTATGGAGCATAAGGAGACAGGTACAATAAAAGAATGAGACTTTGATAAATGACAAGTCAAGCAGGAATGAGTTTTGGTTGATGGAACTAGAGATAGGAGCTCCTTTGAGCAGCAACCAACGATGGGAAAGAGGCTCAAGCTTAACAGATAGACTTTGTTCAACTCTGTTTACAATGCGTTTTTGGACCTTATCTTGAAGAGAAAGATCATTATTAGAAAAACCAGCCCAAATATGACAATAGTATTTCATACAGGGACGAATAAGAAATTTGTAGAGGTAGAGAATGGAATCAGGAAAGAGAGAATGATGAGCACAATAAAGAGAAGCAAGCTTAGCATATGCTAGTTTAGCAATCCATTGTATATATGGTTTCCATGAAAGGTCAGTAGTAAATGATAATCCAAGAAGACATAAAGAAGAGGAATCAGTGAGAGGGTTGCCATTCATTGAAATAGGAGTGTCAACAGTACTGCAATAACTCCAACAAAACTCAGTTATTTGAGGTAAATAACTTTTTGTTGGAGTTTTGTTGGAGTTTCAATTTACAAGCCACTGTAAGCTCCAATCAGTTACAGAAGTGAGATCAGATACAAGATGGGCTGTCTGTTCTAAGCAAAAAAGAGAAAAGTTTTTGTCAAGACATTAGTATTAAGTCGAGTCATCAGAAAAAAGAGCTACTTTAGATGTGAGGTTGTCAGGAAGATCATTAATGTAGATAAGTAATAAAACAGGACCAAGGATAAAACCTTAAGGTACCCCAGAAGTTACTGAAAATAAAGAAGAGTGTTGACCTTCGAGGATGACTTTGTTAAGGCGGTTCGAAAAAAAAACAATTTGATAATCTCATAAATTTCCCAGATACACCATATGAAACAAGCTTATGGAGAAGACCAACATGTCAAACTTTGTTGAAAGCCTATAGATTTTATTGTGCATTAGATTGGGGCTTAAATGCAATAGCCTTTAAGCCTCCATCTAATGCACAATAAAATATTTCAGTCACAGCAGTTAACAAGTTAGCCGTAGAGCAAGAGGATTGAAACACGTATTGGTTGTCTGTCAGCAAGTTATTTGAGTAAAGTTAGACATTGAGAAATATGTTTATCAAAGAATCAAAGACCTTGCTAATAACAGAAAGAAGAGTGATTGGACAATATTTGGAGGGGTCAGTATGTTTACCAGAGTTTTTAAAAAATAGAACAACAGATGCCATTTTTCAGCATGCAGGAAAACAAGAATCAGTCAAGTACTTAATAAATAGTTTAGAGAAAATTGAATCCTGAAGAACAATTTTGTACGACTGTGGCAGGAATTTTGTCTGGACCACAAGCCGTAGAAGAGTTTAATCAAGATTGCAATGTATGTATGTATGTATATATATATATATATATATATATATATATATATATATATATATATATATATATATATATATATATATATATATATATATATATATACTCTTGCATGGTTGTTGAAAAGTTTTACCATATTTTGTCAACATAAAAAAAAAAATTAAAATGGAAGCCTGGAATTATTATTTTTTATTACTTGATAGACTGCCTGCCCCAACCCAACCCTTAGTCGATGTAGCAATACTCTGTTGCAACAAAAGACACTAATTTAAAGCTTGAATACAAGTGGATAATCCGGACATAATTATGATAACCAAGACATGGTTTAATGAGTCATCAATAATAAATTTAGACGGTTATATATGCTACAAAAAAAATAGATCAATAGGTATTGGTAGAGGGACTGCAATCTATATAAAAAAATCTATTATCACCACAGGTGACTGTTACATGAATGCATGCAAAAAAAACTGTTGAAAAAGTGTGGTTTAGTGCCAATCAACTGAGGACCACATACTGCTGGGTTTTTTTTACAGGCCACCAAACAGCAAACCTGAATTAAACACTGAACTAAACCAAATCATAAAAGTAGCCATAATCTAGTGGATAACAAAAAGTTCACTTTTATGTTAATAGCTGGAGATTTCAACTACCCCAACAATGAATGGTCTGATAATCTGCGTGTTAGTGTTAAAGGCAACTGTCGTCAGAGCTTACTGTCATCAGCTTAATCTTTGTTGACAATTTAAACAAAAGTTATCTCCTCCAGTGCGTTTCTAAACCAACGTTTCAGATTGAGGATGGAAAACAAACAAACATACTAGATCTTGAATTAATGGACAACAGTGAAAGGGATAGACATGAAAAAAGGACCACCACTAGGATCAAGCGATAAGGGATACAATGTCATTCAATGGAGTGTCATCACAAACAGCACTATTATAAGAGAAATCTATCACAACAAATTATATGCCTACAGGAACGGTGATTATACAAGAATAAATGCAGCACTAGAACAATTTGACTGGGATAAGGAGTTTGCAGCAAAATCCGCAAGTGAGTGTTATGAAATCTTCTTAGAAAAATATAACAGCATGTGTCAGCAATTTATTTTGCCCAAACAAAATAAAATAAAAAGAAACGATTAAGGATCCACGTATACCGGCTAAAGTTAGGCGAATAATACGTCTTAAAAAAACACTGTGGAGTTGTCTAAGAGCAATAAGTCATAAAAATATCAAATTATTAAATGAATACTAAGTAACAAAAAATTTGAAAAAAGCCGTTAAGAAATCAGTGAACGAGTACAAAAAAATAATTATTGACAATATAAAGACATTTGTATGCAAAAAGACACACAAATTGAAACACAAATAATAAATGTTGAGA